CATACCAACGCTGTATGTTTCAGCGGGAATCAATGAAAGCATATGTGCCTTACGTTAGCACTGATGATTATTAACTACTTTCATAAACACTATGCAAAATGTGTAAAGAGCCAGGAAAAATACTGGAAAGCTGTGTCCGCTTGGCTCTGTGTGGGAAGGGCCTGTGCAGCTCCGTCTTTTTGCAAGCACAGAAACTGCATCTTGTGTGGATTAACTGAGCAGTTCCACAGTAGGTATATTATTTTTATTTCTTTGCGGCTTGTTCTTTAAATCACTTAGCTTAAATCCGTATGACTTTACGTGTTAGATAATTTCAAAGCAAGCCTGTTTTGGATAGACAAGACTTGTTCCAGGATTGCAGAATTTCAAAGCACGTGTGTGTATATATATATATAAAGACTTAGGATTAATCCGGACTTGCAGAAATAACTCAATACCAATAATTAATTAGAATAATTCAGTAATTTTCCGGAAGCGCTAGTTTTTGATTCAGTAAGCTATTACATGTGCTAGATGTTTCTGCCATTGCACTAGCCCTGAGATACAACAATTCTTTGTGAAATTAAAAAAAAACACGTAACCTAAAAAAAAGTCAAGTTATGCAATAAGGCATGAATTTAAGCTCTGGAAATCAATGTAATTCCATGTAAAGACTACTCTTCTGTTGGTAGAACAGGGCTTACTTTCAGAGTAGCTTATATTACTTTAGAAGCATTTTAAACTAAGCTCAAAAAGCCACTGTCAATCCAGAACAGTTGTGGGTACATGAGACTTCACAACAGATGTAACTACCGTGATTTAACCACAGCAATACTGGAGACCAACTCTTGGGTGACAAGACTGTGCGTGTTCCACTGACAGCCAGTCAGCACTCTTCAAACTTCTATGCTTCGTTTTTTTGGGTTTCTTCCCTCTCAGACTACAGAACCATCCTAGCAAGTTGCTAAATGGGGTTTTTTTGTAACATGTAAGGATACCACAACAAAATACACGCATTAAACTTTGCGATGACATCATCTGCCTGTAAGAACAGGTTAATGAAACCACAGCATTGACAAACAGCATGTGCAAACAGCATGTGCATGTCACTTATGTCACTAAAATTTGTTATGGTACAATAAACTATAATGATTTCTTGTTTCAATGCTGTGCAAGATTTTCTGTCACAGTACACTCAATTTCAACTTTTAATTAAAAAAAAATTCTTTAATAGCCATTTATCCATTAGGTCTTTTACAAAATACTTCTTTCTGTATTTGTTTGTGGCACATTGTCAACTAAAGCAAAGACAGGACAGAAAAGAAATGGGAAAAAAAGCCTTACCCTCATGAAATGAAGAAGAGTTACCCATGGCAAAGAGATGTAAATAGGAAAAGTTGGATGAAAGATGTGTGGAAAGGAAAGTAAAGGCATCACTGAAAACAGGGAGAAAGAAAACAAGAGAAGAAGTGAGGAGGAATGGGGAACGGTTCCTCTTAAATAATATATTTCGAAGGCTAGTTTTCCAATTTTTTTTTTAAGGCTTATGGAAAGAAACAAAAGCATGAACAACAGTGGTAGTAACTGCCATTATATCTACAATCAGCAGTGATGTTGCTGAACAGGACTTGCTCTTGTCAGTACAAATTGCAAAATTGCAATCAGTGCCGTAGTATCATCAAGAAATTTAAATGTCCAGTCACAACTCTGCAGAACATGCTAGTGAAATCCAGCCATGCACTAACGTCTACACAAAAGTAACTTTTTATATATGCAACTGACAACGTTATGCACGGTATTACACATCACCTCAGCCTTGCTCAAGCACTTCTGACTTTCCTCATTGGTAAAGCTGGGTGAGAACGTTTTTAAAGGTGTTTTTAAATGTGTGGGGTTTCCTGGTTAGACAACACTGATCCACTCGTGGAATATTACTTAGAAAATAAATAGAAAAATGTCACTTCCGAAACAAGCAATGTTTGACACAATGATCTCGAATAGGGTCTATAGACAGAATACAAGTTTTGAACCTGGATTGCCCAAGTCCCTGCTGCATATTGCTTCTCAACTGTTGATTTTGTTGTTGCTGATCACTTGCTTGGGTTTTGGAAGATGGCATATGGAAGGACCACATACCTTCTCCTTTCTCAACATAAAGGTTTTGGTCTCATCATGATAAATAAAAGGAACCAACTTAGAAATTCTTTAGAAGTTTTCAGAGAATGGGAAACTGCTCTCCATCCAGCTTTAGTAAGGTTTGCTTTCATAACCAAAACTGTCTTGCCAGTGCTTCTGTACTTCCCTCTGCTTCGAAGGAAAGAACAAGAGCTTTAGACTGGCTACAGGACTGAGAAAGCGACAGCCATTCTACAGCTTGATATCACTAGTGCAAAAAAGCCAGGAGAGTGCTGTAGTATTAATTTTCAGTCCACGATTCACCATCAGTACTTCACATCAGCACGAAAGATGGGTGCAACTTGCAACTGGCTGCTGCTTTTTCCTCTCTCCTCCTGGGGAGCTCTAAGTGCCTGGGAGTGGTGGTGTGGCTAATGGATGACTAAAGAGAAGCCCAGGAACCAGAACAGCCTTACACCCGAGCTGCTGCAAAGGCCATTTAACTTCCATCTTCAAAGGCTACTGCTAAGCCCCACCTTGTCTGTCACATGGGTCCACTTTAATTTGTGTTGTGAATTTGGATTACCAAAAAGACAGCAAATGACTAGATATAATCAGATCCATTTTGACTGGAAGGATGAACCTCGGAGAAGCTGAGGCTGCCCTCCCCACAGAGTACATGAGACTGGAGCAATGCCAGTAACACATACCACAGTTAAGTGTTATCTGGACTCACACTGCCTGACCCATCAGTGTTTTGGAATACACTGGGACATCTCCACTTGCTCGTCCATCATTTCTACTAATAACTCATGTAGCCACAAGATTTTTCCACCCATTGTTGTCTTTGTAAATAAATAAAAAAAATCTTAACACATTTATCATAAATCTTTCCAATTACACTGCCCCATAAACTGTCCTGAACTCCAGACCTCTCCTCATAGTAAAAGACATTAATCCACTGTGAATTGTTTTGGCTTATTAAGTTTTAATTTATTGCTCTACCCTCTCTTAAAAGGCTGTTTATTTCTTTAACAATATTTTACATGAGCTGTCAAAATCTGTAACAGTTATGATCTTTAGGTCCACTTTCATTTCAAATTAATTTATTTCTTTTTTTCTTTTAATGAGTTGTCTGACAGGCTAGAAGGACATGATTTGCCCTTGTAAATGCCATTCTGGTTTGACCCTATCAAGTTATACCTATCTAAATATTCACACTATTTTATCCTTGGGCTCAATAGGTTCTCCTTGTTAGTGGTAACAGGAGGTCATCTTTTAAACCCATTGCAACATGCTGTGTATGTGGTTTGGTTTATGGATTCTTGTTGGCTCCTATTCCCTATTTAAAAAACAAACAAAAAATACAAAAAACCCCACGTAAGTTCTGGACATTAACAAAAATTATTATAAATCAAATTTCCTACCTAGCCTTTTATAGGTTGTTAAAAAAAAAAAACAAACAGAAAAGTACAAAACACTCTAAGCTTTTATTCTGATAGTGATTCAAAGGAAACAAGCAGAAGGATTAAGCAAGTTTACTTCCATCAGACCACTACATGCTATGTGCAGTCATAGCTTTCTCTTTCAAGTAAGCAAAAGCTTACTTGCTTTGAAGCAAATTTGTAAATATGAATAACAAACACTAAATGGTAGAATTGGACTGTATTTCCATACCAATCCTTTATATTAATCTCTACAATAAAAATGTTATTGCAATTTATCCCAAGCTTCTAACTTTCCATGTTTAGCCCCCAAATGAAAATCTGGAAAAAAACAAACCACTTGCTTCTCAAGAAGAATGTTACTATCAGAAACTACAACAGCAGAAGGTTAAATATAAGCAGACATATGGACGCTGAGAAGCTCATAAACCTATGTGAAATCAATTTAGCATTTTATTGCTACATTGCAATTAAAATCCATCTATAACTTAAAACTCTGCTTTCAAGTCTGAAGAAAAGGCAGGTTTGGCTGTTGAAAGTATACGACATTACAGAAACGATTTACTAATAAAGCAGCCTGGGTAGAAACCACCACACTGAAATTACGTGTAATGCCGCCAGGGAAAGGTAGCAATGCTTACACGTTCAGGGTACCCTGGTTTTGCCTGTTACGAACACAGGTCTCTCGCGGCACAGCTGCGACGGCGGAGGAGACCGACAGCAGCAGCTGTCACCGGTGGATTTCTAAGTAGAGGCAGAAGATGGCTGTTGCGGATTTTGCTTACAGCCCTGGGACAGGAGTCAGAGCACCTTGCTTTCCAAGTGCCACTTACTGCAGCACCCACTCCAGCAAAAACATCTCTCCTGCACTGCAGAACTTGAGAAGGAAGGAGGGCGAGAGAAGACAGAAGAATAACCTGTCGTTACTCCTTTCCAGGTGACTTCCCGATTAAACTGTTTGTGTCGCAGGAACACAAATAAGAGAAACCTAGACTTCTTTTAATCAGTGTTTTCAGTAAAATTTATTCAGATTGGCCTCAGTTTGGTCTCTATTCCTTTGTATTGGAAACTGTAAAAATTGCTAATGGCACCAAACCCACAATCTTTTGCAGCCTTAAAAATATGGCAGCACTAATATTACATTTTTTAAACAAGTCTGACTTCTTATCGTTGGCCTTCTCACTTGTTTCAGACATTTAAACAGAAATAACAAAAGCCCTCCTATTCAAAATTGCTCACCATTCCTCCTTTTAATTTTTTTTTTTAAACAGAAAACCCCAACGAAACTTTTTAAGTAAAGCAGAAACGATCCTTTAATCCTGCAGTTAAAATTTTATATAAATGCACTGACATTCACTGCCAAATCCTCAATCTGCCTTTTGGATCATAACAAAGTCACTGAACAGCAGAAATTTACAGCATAAATTTCTTAGGCAAACTATAAAAAGCACTATAACTTACCGATGTCATTGCTTCTTTCAGAGGAGTCTTTCTCTAGAGTGCCGGATACTGTACTGCCCACTAATTCCACTTTTGGACTATCACTCCTGCATTTGGATCAAGAAGAGGAGACACTTTACTGCAGTTTTTGTGTGGGTTACAGTAAATTGATAGCTAACTTGCAGTTAATCATAAGAGGGAGAAATATTCTGCCTTTGTAGCACCGGAGTAATAGCAAAGTGTCAGAGCAATCTCCAGTAAGTAGACATGCTGCATGGATTAACCTTATCTCATTTCTCCTTAACACCTGTCAAAAAAGACTATTTTAGACACCGTAGTGTCCTGAATAATTCTTCAGATGTTCACAGCATCTCAACATGAAGGAAACCTAAGGGCAAAGGGACATTCTTCAACATCTTATTTGTTATTTTTTCCTAATGAATTGGCTTGCATAAACCATAGCGATGGACAATCTAGAATACTTCAGAAAGGGAGAGAACTCAAGCTAGCATCATGCATTTCAGCTGTTCCTAGTACTTACTCATAATAAATTCCACCATGTTTTTGCACATTGCTTATGAGATTAGACTATGGATATCGTTTCCATAGGTCTAAGGAACCAAGATCACCTAGTGTGTCTGAAATGTCTTTGCAACAGGCAAGTGTCAAGAGTTGTGATACTTTATGCAGAGGAACTATTTTTAAATCAGGAGATCAAACATAAGCCACAGAATTATTCTGTCTTTGTAGAACTTTCTATCCCACAACTACTTAAGTTTACCAAAACAATCTGACTACTGAAACGATTAATTATAAAAGGGCCAGTGGTAGGCGAGTAGCTTGGCATTGCACAGGTCACACAGACAAATCCCTGTGACATTTACTGTGATAACAACTGTACAATTAATGCAATCAATTGTACTTACCATCATTATCAGGTCAAACAAATATCATAGTTTTTCCACAATGACTATTCCCAGCCCAGTGCTCTAAGAATGATGATGTACATAAGGTACCCAAATTATGGGTAAAAATATAGATGTGTCCCTGAAACAACCCAGGAAGATGCACATTTTTATGAATAGCAATAATTAGCCATTGACAGTAAAACACACAGTGAGCTCCTGAATCTTGCTGATTTTTTCATTTGTCTCTGCTTTTGATGCCATAAGCTGATGACAGATGGCCTGAACCTCATCTCATGGCAGCAGTTTACGAGCAAAACACAAAGTGGCTAGAAACCCTATTTCAGACTTCAGGAAGGCTGGGATAAAGAGCCTGAAAATTTGTGTTAAAAACCAGAGGAAATCACAGATTAAGTGAACGTGCATCCAGTTAAACACTGTGGTAGGATGACAAATATTCTATGAACTAAAAGGGACAGACAACCAGTTTATGACCTGAAAAACAAACTAGTCCTACACAGCTATCAATACGGCAGGCAGTCTGCACCAGGAAGGAAACAGAAGAAATTTAACACATTCCCAGAAAAATGTATTAATTAATAAATAAGGGTATTCTCCAAGTGATCTACCTGATCAGTTAGTTTTCTTATCTTGTTTAAAAAATTGCTTATATATTTATAAATCTATAAGAAGCAACATAGTGTCTTGGCTGATAGGGCAATGAGCATCTGACTGCATACTCTGTTTTGCACACACATATTTTCAAGCAAACTGATTGCACCATGTGAGTTGGAAGCGCTCTAGGAAATGTGTGTGTATGGTCTTGGAGAAGACTCTTAAGATGGTGTGATTTAGGCCTGAAAGTCACAACATCCACCATTTGACTACAAAAGATACCAAGATATATGACAGCGACTCCACAAAAAACCCAACTCTGTTGTCAAAAGAATCAGCAGGCTTATTATGCCAATCTACATCCATACTGTTGTGAAAGGAGTGGAGCTATCCCTTCTTGGTCACACCGTCTCCCTCTCTCCCCTCGTGCCCATGCAGACAGGCTGTCAGCTTGATCAGACAGACGATCAGCCTGAAAGAAACCCCACACTAATGGAAATCCCACTGCAAACTGATTAATTGCCATCTGGAGCAACTCCCTGACCCATATGGCTGAACGGCTGCACAAATGCTGGTGCTAACGGAGGTTGCAGGAACAGGCTGCCAGGAGAGGGAACCTGCCCCTGTTAGCAGCAGCATGGACACAGATTGGTTTAGAATTATTGTAAGAATACACTTTCTGTAGGTCTTTATGGCTTGCTTACTCCAGAGAATTGACTCATCTGTAACTTGTATAATCACAGGTATGTCTCAATAAGCTGTGAAGCCTTTGGAGCAAATTGACAGCTACTCTCTGTCCCACATGGTTTTTGTCTCTCCTATTGCCCGTGAAGCCCTAACCTGCCTCCAAGGAAGGAGGATTATACTTAAACGGAAAAACAATCATCACCACAAGAAGTCAGTGAGATGAATAAGATGCAAGTCACTTGCTCAGAACAGAAAAAAAAAACCCTCTCCTGCTCAGCAGCTGCCACGGAAATCTCATGGGACTTACTTTATAACTACAGCAATTTCTCCCCCTAAGATCATGTACTGGTTTTGGCTGGGATAGTGTTAATTGTCTTTATAGCAGCCTGCATGGTGCTATGTTTTGGATTTGTGACAAAAACAGTGTTGATATCACAGGGATGTTTTAGCTATTGCTGAAGGGTGCTTACACAGTGTCAAGGCATTCCCCGTTTCTCATGCTGCCCTGAGAGCAAGCAGGCTGGGGGTGCACAAGAAGCTGGAGGGGACACAGCCGGGACAGCTGAACCCAACTGACCAAAGGGATATTCCACGCCATATGACACTGTGCTCAGCAATAAAAGCTGGGGGAAGAAGGAGAAAGAGGGGGACATTTGGAGTGATGGCGTTTGTCTTCCCAAGTCACTGTCACGCGTGGTGGAGCCCTGCATTCCTGGGGATGGCTGAACACCTGCCTGCCCATGGGGAGCGGTGAATGAATTCCTTGTTTTGCTTTGCCTGGGCGTGCAGCGTTTCCTTTACTCATTAAACTGTCTTTATCCCAGCCCATGAGTTTTCTCACTTGCCGTTCTGATTCTCGCCCCCATCCCGCTGCGGAGGAGTGAGCGAGCAGCTGTGGGGGGCTGAGCTGCCCACCGCGGTTAAACCATGACACATCAGCAAAAAATCTGCTTTTTCAATTTTTATTCTAACTGCCTTAGGTTTTCCACATTCTGGAAAGGGATACCAGCAGGTCTTAAAAATATTTACTATCTCATTAAACTGAACTGATTTAAAACCAAAATACCTTTACTGAAGTGACTGCTTCCATTTCAGGTTTCACATTTCTTAATTATTCAAGTAATTCAAAGTCTATTCCATTAATTATTTCATTATGTGAACTTTCTGCCCTCTTGCTATGACACCCTTACGAGTTAGCGCCTACCAGGTAGAACAGCTGTATGAGATGAATCCATTAATTTGAATTAGCTGATAAAGAAATCCATAGGAAAACTGCTAGCACTGTGATCATCAACATGCATCATCATTACCTTAAAAATCACGTTTCCTTCTAAGCTTTAATCTAACTACTGTTACAAGTAAAATTCTTTCAAATATAATAGTGTTAGATAAAAAGAACAAACCATTTTTTTTTGTGCTAGACGTAGCAGAATTTGAACAATTAAGAACGTAACAGGGTTACCGTTTAGATCTGGTTTTTCACTTTGTTAACAGGAAACCCGAAGTATCTTTAAAAATGCATGGTTTCTTTACACAATTTTGCACTTAGAAAAATGGAAAACAGAAGAGCAATAAACCACCCCTCCACAACTCTAAATGTTTAAAATATTTATAATATGTTTAAAATATTCCAGGCAAAGGACAGAACAAAAGACTAGCTACGCCGTTGCACACCTAGCCAGCGAACTGAACACTAGGGTATGTATTGGTCTTGCCAAGAAGACATCACCTAGCTAAACCGAAAGGTCATAGCAAATACTTGCTTTTCCAAGCATGCCCAAGTGACCAGCAGGTGTGGACTGTATTTTGGAACAACTGGGCAAGCATGTTCAAAGCCAAGAAGTCCAAAAGTGTTGCAGTACCACCTGGATAGAAGGGTAAGTTCTCAGAGATGCACAGCCAAGGCACTTCAGTAAGACGAAACTGGCAGCACGAGCCAGGCACCTTTTTTTTGATTTTATGAGTCTCAGCTTTCACACTGAGAGCATTTGTTCAATGAACCATATGTGGAGGAATGAGGGGAATCAATTCTAGGATTTCTATTTTATTCTACTCTACTCTATACGCTGTTCTGGTATTTAATTCACTGTCAGTATACTTAGTTCAATGGCAGCTAATTTTTCTAGCGGTACAACAGTAAAAGTATTTCTATGCCTATATGCTAGTATTTCTGTAAGATGTGCAGCTTGTCCATTTTAGGCAACTGCTTTTTTTCTGGTTTTCACCTATTTCTATCCACTAGGCATAAAGGAAGTCTACAGGGCACAACCTGATGACTAATGTAGCTATCTAGACTTGATTTGGACTACAGGTGAGGCCTTTAATTTCTGCAACCTCCACTTTTCCAAGCTCTAGCAGAGATTAAATGGAGATGTGTTGGCAAGTCCAGTTTCTCAGTGCTCTTCAAAGGTTGTAACCACCTCTGATAAAGAGCAACATGTAACTATAGAATAACAACCAACATTAGAGCATAAATACTCAACAGCAGTGTTCTGCAGTGGCACCAGGTTAACGAACAGTCTGTGAAGACACATGTACTTCGCTAAAATTTGATCTAAAACGATCAAAGAAAACAGACTGAAACCAAGCTGAGAGTATTTGAAATGTGCATTGTCTAATGCTGTTCCTCAGTACAATTCAAGGTTTTGCTTGGATTTAGTGCCCCAGACTTAGTGCCCCAGCTAAGGTGGAATAACTTGAGGTAAAACTAAGAAAGCCAACATCAGCACAACATACTGATGCAGATATTTCCCACATACTCTGCAGCGGAAACAATGATGTTGCAGTAACATGTGTTCATCAATAGAAGTGAACTAATAATAAACAGTCTAAGACTGTTATTCTTGAGAAGACAGTTATGATCCAGCCAGATGACTAGAACGCTTTTCTTTTTTTCTTTAAATACAGTTTACCATGAAATAAATTGTGACATCCACTGTAAAATCTCAATTCTTGAAATGTGTGTTTTTCTACTAAACCCAAAAGCACTGGACAGAGGAAAAACAATACCTTGCATGAGTCACAGGCACAACTGGTCTTTCTGGTCGTCTCGGGGGCAAGGTACCGGGTCTATTCACAGAGTTTGCTTTGGGTGGCCGAGGTTTCTTCGGAGGTATAGCAGGAACTGAAGGCTTCTGCAAGTCTAACTGTTTTTGCTCTCTCTCTGATCTTTCTTTAAATCAATTATTTCCAGAAAAAAAGAACACAGATATTATTAAGTGGAATTCATTTGCACTCATAAGTCTACAATTAAACAAGAAATCTTCATCTGTAACTACACTGTACACAAAGAAAAAGCTTATCTCCCTTCCGCTTCTGTCCTAAATCATTCTTTAGTTTAAACAACATACCACAAATCAGTTGTTTGCTCTGCCTGCCTGTTGTGCCTGTAATTCCTCATGGCTGAAATGTGTGTGCAGTGTCTGAATGGGAATGCTATTTGTTATTTTAGTAACTTACTGACTTCTGAGTGTAAAAGATAAGAATGGAAAAAATTACATACCATACGGAACAACTTCCCACAAGCACAACTTATATCAAATTCTAGTATGAAACAATACTAAGTTAGAAGGTCACAAAAATGATTATGTTGGATATTCTTAAGACCTCTTGAACAAACAGAGAAATACCATTTCGGGGGAAAAAAAAAGTGTGTTCCAAGTGAACTATAGCTAAACGAAAACACAAGCATTCAAATTTAGTGATGCTTGGCAGGATGTAAAGCCCTTGGAAAAATCAGACCTTTTATTTAGGTTTTTAAGCGCAGACTTATATGATGAATTTTTCAGCTTGCCAATGAAAAACTGGATCATTTGCAGAACTGATTATGCACAGTTAGGAAGTGCCACAATACTAATATCCAATGCCAAACATATGAAGCCTGTGAGTATGTAAAGTATAATACACATGAATAACTCTTGTAAATAATATGCTCTAAATTCATAATACAAAACAAATATGTAAACACCTTTGCCACACCACAGGAAACCTGATTCTTCTTAAAGAAAGGACAAAACTCTCAAAGGGACCAAAGTTTAGCTCTCTGTATCGAACACCCCACTTCCCTGGACAGCACTGTTTGTGGTATGTCGTGAATATTACACCTCCGTATAGAGGTAAGAGGTATTGGGAATGTTACAGGGTATTGCTTAATGGGTTCCAGGTTTCAGTCTGAGAGCATCATGGAATAAATCACCAGAAACACAATCCACACTGGATTTGGAACAGTCCAGTAAGTGACTATTGTTCACAGGCATATACCCTTTTTCAGCACACTTTCAGTTGATGCAATCGTTGGGTCCTCTGTAACATTGAAGCTTTCCCAGCACATTGTGTAATTTTTACACACTTACTCCAATGACAATTTGTACTGCATCAGTGTCCAAGAATCTAAACTATGTATGAGGGATGGGCTAGGCAGCGTACCAACGCACAGTGTAAAGAACGTTCCTGTGCCACCCCTGTTGCTACACCACACCAAACAATTCCTGCCACTCCCCGGTACTCCAGAAACGTAGGCAGGACTCTCACGGCCTCTTTTCAACATTTAGAAAAGTTACAGATATTTATATACCCTGGGACAGTAACATATTTAAACTCCCTCCATCATTTTCACAGTTGGCTTTGTAAATCCAAAACTGGAAAGCAAAGGGTTTTATTGCTAAGATAACCACGAGAAGTAGCGCACATAACCAAAAGTAAACATACACAGGCAGAAGCGCTATAGAACACCTGTCAGATCGCCAAGACGTATATCCAGAAACAGATGTTGGTGCAAAGCAAATTATGTTCTGGCAGTAAATTATGACTGCATATTATACATTTGGTCATGCGCATACACGTGCCTTTTAAAAGACTGCCAATACTTAAAAGTTAAGAAATCCCATAAACAAACTTATCTGTACAATCTAATAGTCCACTTAAAAGTATGAAACTTGACACCACCTTCAATTTCAGAATCAATGTAACTATTTTCCCCAAAGTATTCAGAATGCACAATGAACACAACAAAACCTTTAAAAGTTTAATTCGCTTGTCACCGCTCTGGGTGGTACTATGCCCCATTTCTTGCAATGTTCAAACCTGGCTTTGAAGACAGAATTTTGTCATTCCACAGGCTTGCCTATGACTTTTGTGACTAGGTAATGGGGTGATTCATAAGCATTAATGACTGTATCTTCACAAAAGCTCTCTGTGAGGCACCAACACTGCTTTTAACTAGAGAACCAAGGAATATAGTTGTTAAGAAAAAAGTACACACTAGTCTGGGGTATCTTGATCAAGGACCCGGGTTTTACTGAGCACAGAGCTTTAGACAGCATTTTATGTACCGAGAGTGTAATTCCCCTTGACTTCAGTTGAGCCTGCAAGGACTTTACAGCTCTGGATTGGTACTATTGAATACCCTGAATTTAGTCTAAAAGCAACAATAAGATCCTTTCCAAATGCCTATCATCACACACCTATCAGAGTGGGAAATAAACACCCAAACAATACAGTTAATGAAAACAGAGACTGGGAAATGAGGATGCGCATTGGTTCCATTTCCCCTGTCTCTCTGCAGAGAGCAGGCAGGAAAGCACAGTTCGTACCTTTTTCTTCTGTTCGATTAGGAAGACATTCTGGCCTTTCAGGAGGTACCTTTTTGATTTCATGCTTTCGATCTGTAGTACCTGTCAAAGAAAGGAAAATCTGGAATTCTGAACAAGCCAACAAACCAGCATATACGGCCATGTAAGATTTAATTCTGCAATTTCTTTGGCTTTTTACATTTTCCAGTTTGAAAATGTCTTGCTAAAAGTGAACATAAATCCAGTCTCAAGTATTTGCTTACACCATAATGACAAAAAGGCAATTGGATATTTATGTTTTCACAGTCAGGTTCACAGTTTCTAAAGCATGCACCTCAGAAGAACAGGTACCTTCTGTGCCTATTTTTCACATTCTGTGAAAAAAAAATAAATCAATAACTACAGATTTTTAAATGTGGATAGATCCTTTACCATTGTACACATACTTAACTGACGAGCAATTCAACAGTATGGAGAATCATTAGGAATACATCAATTAAGTGGACATTTCTGCCAAGAGAATACTTAATACAGGGCTTCTTTTACACTAAGTTAACCCCCCGCTCTTTTTCACCTCTAGTACTAGCTGTTCATCTCCACATATTAGAATGATGAGAACAGTAGTACTGACAGTATTCTGCATGACTATTTTAATTGACAGCTTTTGGCCTGGAGGTGTAAGCCTCTCCCTTCTTCTGCCTCTGTGCTAGAGACCCTGACATACTGCCTTCTGTTGCTACAAGGAATATAGGAACTTGTGGCACCAACAACGGGAAGATTTTGCAAAAATTTCCTGGCACGTGCAAGATGCAATCTTCTAGTCCCTGTATTATAAGAAATGCTTTATTGGATATTGGCTTTGCTGCATTGGCTAACTACTAGGTGCTAATGCCATTTCAACCGAGTAGTGATGAAAACTGCTTTAGGTAATGCTATTAGTATTTCAATAAAAATTACAGCATATAACATCCAAGAAAGGCAGAGGAGGCAGGGCAGGGAACATAAGGCAATTTTTTGCTTCCATCTATCCTATTTCTCAAGTACATTTACATTTTCTAAATGTGCTCTTGCAACTCTCTTCTGCAACTGGTTCCTAGAAATCAGTACTCATCAGTGCAAATTGCTCATCAGTGGTGATCACCGGCCATTGTTTCTTTATACAATTGTGCTGCTGGACAGGCAACACTTGTATCACTTATATGTCAATAAGTAATATTGAATTGGCATTTTATGGTTGGATTCGATGATCTTGAGGATCTTTTCCAACCTAAATGATTCCATGAAAAATACTTCACTCCTGAGAGGACAAATGTTGCTAGAAACCAAGTAAAGCCTTCCTAAACACAATTCAACATACTGACAATCTTGCACATATTAGTGTGTTCAAGAAAGAAAGAGACACAAGTCTACACACTTAATTACAGTAAGATTAACAGTCACCATTAACACACAGAAGGACATTCTCAGACCATGTCTAACACAATGAGCCTACAAACACCGAGGAGCTCCAAGGCTCAGGTGTACTCTCTACTTGGGCTGTGACACCCAAATTAATCAGTACGCAGGCAGGCACCATGACTCTGCCTTAGCTGCCAGGAGAAGGTCACCTGCAAGGAAGCTCTAATGAACATCGTACCAGCTCCCAGGGCAGGGACTCAAAAGAGTATTCCCACCCTCTAGTTTAGATGCAGGTGTACTGCTTATTCCAGACACCCAGTGAAATCCCTACTGCTTTTCAGTGACTATGTAAGGGACTCGTGCTCCTAACTATGGTTCTCCAGTTTTCACCTTTGTGAAGCAGCCCTGCACAACAGCAGTCTGCTGCTGTGCAGAATTTGGAAATACAGCCAAACTTCCAGCTATACTGTAATACAAACTAGACATCTCCTTTACGCCTATGTTGCTTGTACTATGAAGGCCAAGTCTAATTCTCTTCTACGATTCTATGCTCTGCATCAGAGATGCTGATATTTAACTATTTAGGCTGCTACTGACAGTTCTCAATTTACTCATCACACTACAACTGGTTAGATATGCAGAAACATTACTCGAAATTGTTACCTACTATCCACAGCAAGGCCTGACATGGGGATATGGTAAAATACAGTGTTATCTCGGTGAAGTGACAATTTGATGAAGTAGAGGAAGTCAGGATGGTAATAAACATAGGATGATTTCCATTTCTACATATGAAAAGAAATTCTTGTTGCTAATCAGCCTAGACTTGTCAAAAACTAAGTATGAAAACAGAGAATGGCAACAACCTTGGCTTTGACATAGACTTAGATGTCCATAATCAAATTGTCTGCACCCTTTATGTATCCATTTTTCCTTCTGAAAACGGGCACATTATCCTGCTATGGTGACACAACTAATGCTTTGGATGCAAACAGATACAAACATATTAAAAGCACTACTCTCTAATTACAGGAGTATAAAGTGAAAGAAATACAATGTTTTATTAAGCTTTTACAAAATGTGTCAGGCTGTAACATCAGCTGTCACTAAAACATGTCTAGTATTCAACCACCACTAGATGGCAAAGTTATACTGCTCTCTCTGGACACTCTTACTGATCTTAAAACCAAATTTATGTTTTTAGGAGTCTCAAGACAGAGTGGAGAATAAACCATGGGTGTCAATAAGCAAACCAAATATTTATAGTCATAATCCTGTAGTCAAAGAGCTGCTTGACAAATTCAAAGTAGTTAAATTATAGCCTATTGATTCACAGTAAGTTGCACACTGGTATTACTTGTTCTTCTCTTAATAGATCAAGACTGTAGGAGAGGGAAATTTACTTTTTAAGCACTGAAAGCTGGAACAGGCCACAGTGACAAGAAAAATGATCCGGCTAGATTGGATGTGTTTGTTTTGGCTTTTTAATGCGCGCCAGCAGTGGGGGACGTGGTAGTGCTGCTGCAGAATTTTAACAAACCAACTGGAATTAAGGGATTAAAGAATTCCAGCCATAGTTATGTTTCCACCACAACCGCAATACAAATGAAAACTCCGAGAGCATTCCATGCCTTGTGATTCGTGATTTTATATGAATGGAACAGGAATTTGGTTTGTGAGGTCAGAACTGTCAAGTGTGTAGAAACTTAACTGTCTCTAAGTTTCACTGAAAAAAGAAATCATGCAGGCACTTTTGAAAACTTGTATTGAGAGGTCGTTTTAATGCTACAAATGAAAGTGGTTTCAGCTCTCAGTATTTATACAGAATTCAGTCTAACACATTCCAAAACCAGCTTTGCTAGCAATCCTCTGTTTGGAAAACAGTCAGCCCCTTAACACATTTGCAAGACCACTATCTGCATAGCAGATTCAGGGTAACTCCCTTTTGGTTTACACTTATGGCTATAAAATACTGAAAACTAAGAATTTAACTATGGCATAGAACCAGCCAGCTCCAGCATTCATGAAGATCTGTAAGATGTAGATTGCAAGTCAGGTGGGGCCACTATACTAAGGCCAAGTTCTCTGACGTTATCTTATAGATATGCAAAAAAGCTCTTTATCTCTAGAATAAAACAGATTCATAGGTGTGAATTGAATGCAGTTTCCTCCTGCAGGTATTACCAGACTCCAAAATATTTGATCTATACTGCAAAGACATGCACACAATAAACTTTAGTCAAGGAACGGACTGAAGAACTTTGAAGTATCACGCTCGCTCTGACTTACTATATTTAAGGGGCAAAATATGTTATTTTAAAATGGTGCAGTTGGTTGCTTGCAATACATTTAAAAAGCACACCACAGTCTTTCAGGGTTATCACTTTTTTGTAATTTGATTCTGATTTATTAGTTGTTGTCTAGACACCTCCTGATTATCAATTTTGATACAGATTAATTCATATAAATTTGAATACACTTAATTTAGATTGAGATGCGCTCACTGACATGTGCTGTACAAAATCAGCTGCACCTTACCTGATCCTTGTTTGATGACAGGAGCTGACGGAGGTGGTGGTTTCTTCGGTCTCTAAAATTTAATAACAGAAGAAAACAGATTGCTTCAAAATGTCTGTTAACAGTCTCATTTATATAAAGGTTGGAGTTAATCGTATAATGCTTAACATTAATAATTACAAGTCTTGAGACTACAAATCTGTCACACATTTCCCCTGAAATAACTTCCTTAAAATTATTTGAAGAGAGAAAATAGCATTGACAAACAAAATGGCATTTTTCTACTTTTGCAATTGATATGTCCTGCTGAGGGGAAAAAAAAATTCCAGTTCATGTGCTTTAAGATTAGAGAATGACCTTTGGTTTACCGAAGAAACTATTTATTTAAAATTTAATCTTGTAAATATTCTGACCCATTTTTGGGAAAAAAAACCCCCACACAAAAAAAGAGATAGATGTGGCAAAACCTGAAGTGTGTTTTCTCAGCCTCATAAATGGGGCAAAAAGGCAGAACATAGGAAATGCTGCAAAGATTACATTTTATTCACTCAGTATGATACCTATACAGCTCCAGTTGTGAAAGACAGCTATCAGAGTTTTAGATGTTTGGTGAAATGAAATTAATTATTCCAACCATCAGTAATTTTTACTTTTACCTTCTCTGTTATGACCATTTTCCTAATAGATCTGTAATAGTATGGCTGAGAAACATGATGACCAAATCAACCATTTCTCTTCACCTGCAGGCTAGGGGAAGAGTGGCTTTTCTTTTGTGTTGATGCGTGTGTACGTGCACACACACACACACACACACCATACTGGCATTCACCATATATATCTTGGAATTAGTACAAAATCAAATGGAGCACCATGCCAGATCAAATGACATATCACAACCCTCACTTTAAAAAAAAAAAAAAATTAAAAAATCAGAATTATTGAGAATAAAGCCTAAGTAAAAATTAATAATTGTTTTCTTCATATGTCTATCCTTTTTTTCCGAGAAGGACCTTATTTCCTTTGCTACAGATTGATCAACAATCACTGTCACTATATTATTGTCCTGTGGAACTACCTGTAAGTTGATGTTTCCAGGTATGTATAGCTTTGCCAAACTTCAGTCATTTAAGTTGATATTTTCTGTCAAACTCATGTTGATTTCTGCCCCCTCCCTATTATTTTCTATATATCCAAATGGCTCACCTACTTTCAAGAAAGATCAATTGCTTCGCTCACTTGCAGTAATTAGTTCAGCCTCTGCCCTAGAACTCTCAAGTCTTGGTCTGAGTGTTGATAGGGAGCAGGTTTTCTGTGAAGGTTGTGCTCTTGCCACTCACCCTTCCCAGTGATCTCTCTCAAGTCTAGCCAAAAAAAGTACCAGTTCTGCACAGATTGAGTAAGCCTTACAGCTTACATTTCCGGAGTCGCCATCCTGCAAGCCTCAGTTTTCTCCTCCCACCTTATCCTAACCAGATCACCTTTTGTCATCAACAGAAGACAAGAACTCAGGAGCTCAGAATGATCTCTAGCCTGGCTGCTGTGGGCCATCTTCCATGAACAGTGAGGCCCTTACACTCTCAGGGACACTTCTACAAGAATTTGGGCAACACGTTCAAGGTTTAAATACAGAAAAGTGCAGAAAAATGTGGAAAGGAAAGAAGACAGCAACAATGAACTTCTTGTGATAGCAATCGGGAGTTTGGTTGCTAACTATTCAAGTTGGTGCTGAGGATCCAACAGCACAATATACACATTTGGGGTCTTATTCTGGAATGGCATGAGCCTGATCTCATTGACTGTCCATACATCAGCAGCTGGAATATATGAGGTGCACTCCTTTAGCACATCTTTTAGCTTAGTTCTCATCTGAAAGGAGTCTAGCTCATGTCCCCCGAGACCTGTTTTTAAGGCAAACCAAAGCATAGCAAGTGCAGATGGACAAGTGAGAGATTCACTACAAATCCCACTCCTGATTAAAACTAAAACACTAATCTAGATAAACACAAAGCAGAAAGGATCCTATGGTTCATCAGACAAAGTGGCTTTAACTTGAAGCCGAAGAGGGAAATGTGTCATTTTAAAAAGGCACACAAAGATCAGAAAGGAGGTAGCATGAAGGAGCTTGAAGACTGCTGAGGAAAACATGCAGAAACAAGGAGGAATTACAAGGGTCTGTGGCTGGATGAGACAACCACGGAGGTGATGGAGACAGATGAGAAATTAAGCCAACAGATTGGTTGGACAAGAAGAGAACAAAACTACAGAGCAGGGACAAAGAGTGAGAGGGGAGAGGAAAACAAGCTGGATAAAGATATTTGGTGTAGGGCTAGAAAGTAAATCCAGATGGTGATTTAGACTCAGGTAGTGAGCTCAGGGGAAAATCCTGTAATTGACACCACCTGCGAGGTGGAGACTGGGAGTGGGCAGGGAATAGAAAAGGCCTGGGAAAAATAGCCATGTGTGGAAAAGAATCAGGATTGGGAAATTTGGGATCCCAAGCTTTTGTTCAACAAGCAGAAAAACTACTGCAACAAATACTTTCAGATCATGCGATGGAATCCAAGGTTTCTGGATCACATGAGAAAATACCTGACAAAACCACTGGAAAAGCATCTATTTCCTTCCCTTTTATCACTGATTCAAGCAAAGACAGACAGTCTATAGTCCTACCAGTTACTTACTCATGTGGCCAGATCTGTGACATTTTAAAAATCAATAAAATTTTATTCTCCATATTTACAGCAAACCTAGCTTCAATTTCTAAGTCCCTGAATATTTAATTTATTCTACAAGTTATAGTCATTGTACTCTAAAGAAAAAAACACTTAAAGATATATAATAAGTTTAAAAAGACTGAATAAATTTGACCACAAAAAAAAATGGATAAGAGTAAAGATTTTTTTCTTCTATAATAGGCTCATTATGTCTTACGATTTATGATTTCTGCCTCTTCTGGAAATCACCTTCTTTTATTTTTAGGCCTAAAGCCAGGATATCCACTCTGCTATGGAATTGCGTTTTCATCTCCCACAGTTTTTGCTGCTCTTCTACCCTCATTTTCAATAATTATCATGTTAGCTTCTGTGAGTTGTTTAATAGTTGCTTTATTAAGCTTTCCAAGTTATTTAGTTTTTGCCTCTAGCATCCAATTTTATTGCCAAAGATTGACGCTGAGTGTCAGCAAGTCTTGGTTTTATCACACAAGGCTTACACTGTCACTGTGAAATACTCATCAGAAGCCTGATTGCAAGCTTTAATATCCCATGATGACTGAAAAGGTTCCTAAAAATGGAATGAACTTTTTGGGGAAGTAATTCATTACTTTATTCCAGGAAGCCGCAGGATTACTAAATATTGTTTGGCAATCTCTTTCAAATAAATAGAAGCTGAAAAAGCTTCTGCATAGATTTTATACCTTCTTTTTTAATAATTCTGAAAGAGGTAAAGAAACATGCCTCTGAGATACCAAAAGCTCACAGTTAAAAATGTCACCCTTTTCATTTTGGAAGAGTGCTTGACTGCTGTCAATCAGCACACAGGTAGTACGCTAACTTTTCAGATCCCACCAGGAGAACAAGCGAGAAGAGTTAACAATTCTGGTCATCATTGCATCATCTGACTCAGCAAATCACCCTGGGACCTCCAGTTCCTCTCTGTCTCAAACTTAGGATGCAGGACAGAGGGCGTTCAGAGCAACATAGTCGAGGTGGACTGACTGGATGGGCCAATCAAACCCTTGAAAGAAACTCCATAATATGACTTTGAGTGCCACATATTCTCTTCATGGGTGCTTTGAAACCCAGAAATTGGTTTCCTTTGATTTTTTTTTTGTTGTTATTAAGTTAGAAGTAAAACTTTGTCAAAATCACACATCTGAAAGATAATTTCTTTCAACTCCACTTTCATTCTGTATTCTAAAGCGAAAATAAAAGAATACATTGCTTACCTCTTTTTCAAAATCAGAAGGAAGAAGCTTGACAAAGTTATCTGGAAACACACCTCGTCTGCCATTGAGTTCTCCTTCCCACCAACCCACATCAATGCAATCCTACAAAATAGTAGAACAAAATGAAAACACAGTATGCTTGTGTGCTGAACAAATCTGTGTGCTGAAGTGCTCTTTTGCATAATGTCCTGCCTTTTTGCAAGAACATGACAATTTACTGGAGTGCCAGGTTAAAAAAGGTAATCTACCAGATAAAAACTTCAGTAATCACCCCACATCACGTTATCACATGGAACAGCTAGGAAAGAACAACAAACACATTGTAAGAGCTCAACAGCTTGTCTGTGTCTAAAGCAAAATGCTATTTCACCATTTGATCTATTAAACCACCAAGCACTTTGAGAATGTATGATACTATTTCTGTCTAACTTCATTTTAAAGAAAGACAGTAACTTAATTAAACATCATACATCCCAGAGGGTAAAAAAGCTCCTTTATTTCCCATACTTTCAAGAAAAGCTCGACACATTAGAATTCCTTTTGAGATTATTAAATTTCTTCACAGTCCAATAAGGAAGGCATTATACACCTGATCACTATCAAGCATCACCTTTTTCTGCAGTATTTTTGAGCAGCACAATGCAGAGTGTGTCGCGAAACAACATATAGCTAAACATTCTCAATAAGTAAACTACTATATCAGTAAGTCTAAATGACAAAAAAATTAGTACAGCTATTTCGGTAATGAGTAGTAACAGTAATAGAAGCCACAACCATTTCAGAGAAGGTTAAAATTGTTCCTTGTGTCCTGGATGGTAAGCTCCATGTTCACTTATTTTTGTATTTGCAAAAGAGAATACTTCCAGTTGAGAATCCCCACGTTCTTCTTCCCTGAAAGCCGTAGTTGAACTAATTCAGCTGTTTTCCAAAACACAATTATGGAAACGTCACCCATTGTCTGCTCAGTCTTAAAACCATTTCAGCCAATTTTAGCAGCTGGCACGGCACCAGGCTGGTCAGCCTTTCTACCCTGTTGAGCAGTAGCCCTAAATCTTCATGTGGCTCAGAGCCATGCAGTATCACGCACCTGAGACATGAGGGAAAGGGAAATCCCACAAATACTGCATGGGTTGGACACGACAAAAAATCACCAGGGATCCCCCTATTCTATGACGGCCAGGGCTAAACAGAGTTGGGTTTACAGCTTGGATCCCATATCACCTGGCAACATTAGCCTTAAGCAACCACTGCAGCACCACTGCTACAGATCTGGACTGACCAAACTGGCTGCGCACCTGCTAGGTATATCCAGCTGTCCTGGTACCAGAACCACACTGGAACTGCTCAAGACTTTAACATGTGGGACTTGATGATCTTAAAGGTCTTTTCAAACAAAAATGATTCTATGATTCTATGTTGGATGTTCCTGCTGTAACATTTCTAATTCAAGCCTGTGGAAACTCTCCCTGATTTAATAAAGTACTTTTGCTTTTCAAAAAAATCACATTTCACCACTGTTCAGATGAGATCAGTTGAAATATAATGCTTATAATATAAAGGGTGGGTGTCAAGAGGATGGGGCCAGTCTCTTTTCAGTGGTGCCCAGTGACAGGACAAGGGGCAACGGGCACAAACTGGAGCACAGGAAGTTCCACCTGAGCATGAGGAAAAACTTCTGTATTCTGAGGGTGGCAGAGCACTGGAACAGGCTGCCCAGGGAGGTTGTGCAGTCTCCTTCCGTGGAGATACTCAAAACCCACCTGGATGCAGTCCTGGGCAACCTGCTGTAGGTGAACCTGCTTTAGCAGGGGGGTTGGACTAGCTGACCTCCAGAGGGCCCTTCCAACCCCGACCATTCTGTGATTCTGTGATTCTGTATTTGAGCAGCTGTGTTCTCCAAATACTCAGTGGTACCGATGTAGGGCTAACAGTTCTATCCTGGGACATGGTCACTGTTCCAGGTCATCCTGCAGTGAGGATTCTCCATCACTCACTGCTGCAGAAACTATGTGGTTCTTTCCCTGCAAAGACTTTATCTGGGCTGTGGAAAACAGCATGATAATGTACAAAGCTGGCTCATTACAAACACCTGTCTCTTCTTGCTTTTCAATAAAGCAAGAAAGTACGAAAAGCTGTAGATCTGGAACAGCAGAATATAAGGACGAGAAGGAACAGAGGGGTACGGCTATAATAGAAATAGGCAAGCATGGGCAGGCAGTTTAGGAAAAAAGCAGAGGCAACAACATACACTAACAGTTTTTCACAGAGAAAGCTAGAAAAATTGGATAGAAGCAAATTGAACAGGCCAAACACTACAAGCCTCATATATGCTATGAGGCAACATCTCTCCAGAACAGCACTGGATCAAGGCGTCCAGAATCTTAACATTCTTGTAGTGTGAGAAAATAGCTTTAAAAACACGAAGCGGAACTGTGTGCCTCAACAATGTTTATTTACACAATTTGATTGTGAAGAAATACCTGTTGGGCAGTATGTGTAAAAGCTCTGGGGTTAAAAATGACACATGCTCAAATCAGTCACTGTTGTAGCCATTAAAAGACAGATCTGTTGTTTTTTTCCAAGATGAGTATTCAAAATGAGCAAAGAAAGACCCTAAAATACTGCCACTCTGATCTTCATTGCATCAACTGCCTAGGAACAATCATAGCATGCCCTCACAATTTAGAAAAGTTTTGAAGACAATTGCTTACAAAGAATCCATGCACTACAGAAGTACAGAGGGGAAAAAGAAAAGAGGAAACGAGTATTTCTTTGTCTAGAAGATGTAAACATCAATTTAAATAGGGAGAGGATCCACTGAAAAAAATCTGAATGTGAATGGGCAAGAAAAGATTGCATGATAATACATGCATACAGAACAGCCTTATTGTTACATTTCTATGATATCATTTGTTTCAGCTGCTACAGGGATGAGAGAATAATGCAAGTTAGCTTAATGAGGTGTACTTAATACCAAAAGAAGTCTTAAAAATACTGTTCACAATGACTGTGCTTGTCGGTAGTTTTCTGTAACTTATAATGCATAAACATTGGTTGATATTTGAGAGAAAACAGACTAGCATTAAAGAAGATCACTGCTTTTCTGTTTGGAGGGGGGGTGTGGTTTAAATTATTTTTCTGTTCTAGGCTTTTTATTTAACTTACGCAGTCCACCTCATCTCCTGAGATAGAGTATATGCTAACAAAACAGACAAGCTAACAGCCTGGTTTCTTGCATCGTGTCTGTTTTGCATCTTTCTTTTTCCTCCTTCTGATATCTCAATATTTTACTCTGATGTAATCTGTTCCTGATCTATAAATGCAGGCACTGAACAATCCTTTCATTCTTTTTCTGGTCATTTTCTCTCATGCTCAATCTGTGCTTTTCTCTTGCATTCTCCCTTCTCTTTAGCAGGGTGGCCTTCACCAAGGACACTTACACTTTCTAGACCTTCCCAGGAGTTATTTAGGAGGTATTTACCAGTTCCGTCAGACTGTCAGGCCTTTGTTAGTGAACAGGGCTGATTCTTGACTAGCTGATGTTTTCAAAATATCCGTGGAGTGAATGCAGGGCTCCATGAAGGATCGAGATAATCAGCCAGTCATGCATGGCACAGGCAGGCGCTGTGCAGGATACTCTTACCGCAGAGCCAGCACCCCTCCTCATTCCTGATGTGAAGGCACCCTCCCACTTGGCTCTATCTACTTGCGCAGCCTAGTAATCAGTGCACTCAACTGTTCTATCACATGGCGTGTTTTATAATGCCCTCCACCCCCTACACTGCTAATCTGAAATTGCCAAAACATTTATGACCCAATTTAGATTTTGAAAAATATTAAGAATAATTCAAGCGTTCAGAGATTAAAAGCTTGTGCTTCAACTGATAGCACAGCTTAGTGCTAGCTAATAATCCTGACTACATAACACACAACATCACATATATTGGTTTTATGTCGGATTTTTTTACGCTCCTAGGAAACACAAATCTTACTGCTACTTCTTCATTTTATTAACACACACGAATTTTGTATTCAATGCTTTTTTTTAAAGCTCATTTGTTTTCATGAAGATGCTGTTTGTGTTACACGTTCATTAATCCTGAACAGCTGTGGGTTCGCTTTTTTCTCCTTTCCAGCTTGTCACTCAGGCTTATGAGCCAACCACCATGCTGCATTTTTTTTTTTTATACAGCAAGTAAAACTTTAGGCAATGTCTTTTTAATTTTCTCATTTACTTTATTTCCCAGAGGAGGCTTCTGTGTCACTGAGCAAAAGGACAGAAAGAGATCTCAGAAATTAAAAGCTACAGATGAGATCTGGTGAAGAATCTCAGCGGCGGTGCCCTCCTGCTACCCACAACAGCAGGCTCACTATTCCTCAGCAACCTCTGGAAGCCCACGTATGATGCTGGTAGCAGGTACATCTTCATCATGAGACAGGCTGCCACACAAGGATACCCGAGTTACAGCTGCACAAGCTGCCTCAAGTACTAAGAAATGACAGAGCTATGCAGCATAGTCAAGGCAATATGATCAAAACAATGTGGCTGCCTGTGAGCATAGAGTAAAAGCTGCTTCAACACTTCTAGATCACCATCAGCCATGCAATGCCAGTCATATTATCTTTTCTAATGTATCTTTGCATGTTCAATGTCAGCAAAATGGCTGTAATTTCAAAATGCAGATTTTATACAAAAGCTGTCAAGCTATTACAATCCAGTATCGATATTCCAAAATTTATTAACAAACCAAGTGGATCTCTGCTTTATCTCCATGTTATCCTGCCAGACTCATAACAATGTAAACAGACAAAAACAGACGCTGAAATATTCCAGAAGTTCTATGAAAAAAATGTATTACGATTACTAAAAGTACATCTTAGTTTAACTTAAGAAAAAAAAAAGGAAAACAAAAGATTTACAAAACTGAAAAGTAAGACAGAGCCAGAAAGTAGAAATTGTGTTTGACAGATACTACAGTTCATGCAAGTTAGGTGGTAGCTAAGCCAACATTTAGCTACTGTAAAAATTGGCTTGACTCAAGAGACTAGACTCATGTACTCATTGCAGTGACAGTGCAATCAAATACCTTAGAGAAATCCAC